GAAAATCTTTATTGGGAAGTTGACCCTCAAAGTGAATATTGTGTTGTTTCTCCTTCAAGACTTTGTTGGTATCGTCTGTGGGCAAGGTCGAGACACATGTGTATGAAGCGATCACAATATAGGGACCAAGTTGAGTTATACTAATTACAAAGGACTAACCAAGTAAAGTATGAAATTGAGAACTTAGTTTCTAACTAGGTATCGGAAGAACGTAGTATTTGGAAGGTAGTCAATCTACTAATCTCGTAGAAGACTTAGTTTAGCTAGCTAATGTCGTGATAGACTCGTACCCAACTGTTTATTCTCGACATTAGTACTATACTTCTTTGTTCAAGTGGTGACATATGAAAAATTGAGTTGTTGTGTTGTGAATTTGTATCCAATTTGTTATTGATCTAACAAGCAAAAAATAATTACCCTTACATGTTGTCATGTAGTTTGGATTACAATGATCATATGTGGTATGAGAATAGGATAAAGATAGGACTGAAGAGTTACTGTGAAGGCCACTCAATGGTGCATGAGCTAGGGGTGTTTTGTTGACTACTTGATGAGGGTACAAATGCATGTGTAGTAGTTGTTGTTTGATGGACAACTTAGAATGTATAAATTACATTTATTGGATTACTATATTTATATTACACATGTTTATTTAGTTTATCAATAGAATAATACACGTTTTTCATATTTGTAAAACTATAGTCCTAAGTGGGACGTTTTTCACTACTAGTAACTGTGTCATATAGTGTAAGGATTAAGGTGGGTCATAAAAAAAATGAAATATTTAAATGTAGGAAATTAAATAAATATGAAATTTAATTAAAAAATTGATGTAGAGAAATACTTAGTAAGTAATATTTGATATTAAAAATATAAAAAATATTATTATCAAATGTATATGAGATGAGAGTGTGAGAATGAATATGAAAGATACAAGGAGAGTGAGAAAAGTAGAGTATTTATAAAATATTACAAAATATATCATCTAGGATCTTTGTAAGTGTTAAATGGATTATATAGAATTTGTTTTTCTATTTATAAATTATATTTTATTTAAAATTTGTATAAATATTTTTTTAAAATATTTAAATTATTTATTTGATTTAGATTTAAATATATTTTTAGTATTTTAAATTTAGGATAATTTTTTTAATCTTTTAAATTTAAAATTGATATTTTTTTATAATCATGATATGGGTACAAAATATTCACCATTGATGACTAATCTGCATTGAAAATCTTAAACATATATAAAGTGAATATTATCCTCTCAATATAATCTACTCCATCTTTGTCTATTTTTTTAGTCCCTTCAATTAAAAAAAAACTTATTTTATTTTCAAGGTAAAAATTTGTTAGCGAATATGTGAAATGTTGTTGCACAAAATTCACTTACTAGTATCATTGTCAGTAAAAGCACCACAGTTACATAACTGTCTTAATTTGTCGCTTTCAAATATATTATTTGTGACATAGTGTAGGGATTAAAATAACCTTTTTTGAAATTACAATAACTAAAAATATTAATTTTAAATTTGAAGATCTAAAAATAAATTTATTTTAGTTTGATGGATTAAAAACATATTTGAGTCTTTAAATTTATAGTAAATAATTTATGTAAAGATACTATATTAATCTTAATTATTGGTTATTTGTTTTTTGATTTAATTGATAATTTATGTTAAATATATTTAAATTTAATTTAAAAATAAATACGATAAGTATAAAATAAAATAGATTAAAAAATTAAAATTTTAAAACTCTCATTAAAGAAAAAGGTCTACATACATACAGTAGCCTACAAGATATCTATTCTCATTTACATAATGACAAATACTTATTAATTTACTATAACCGTCTATAATATATTAATCACATATAATAAATTCATATTATTAAATAACATTTATATTTTATAAAAATTAACTACCTTAATAAAGTCATACGTGTACATCTTTATTAACTCTTTCGATGGGCTGAATGAAGAGAGAGAAAATATTGTTATCCACATAAAATGAGATAAGATAAAATGAAAACATTTATTCTTCTAATAATTGAACTTTTTTACAATGAGGTGAATGAAATGAAATGTAACACCCGGAAAAAAAAAATAACTTAAGTCGACTGAAAACAACAATTTTTTTAAAAATTGAACTTCTTTATAACTTTTGGTTTTCATATAACTTTTTCAATGAAAAAAAAAGAAGCAAACATAATAATAAAATATAAATATGCATAGAAGTTGATGTAGTATAAAAGTACAAAATAAATAATACATCGAGTGCACAAAGACTAGCACAAATTTATTAAACTAATAGTTTCGAGTTTAACTTAAAAGAATAGCTTTTTTTCATATACTATGATCTTTTTTTTTTTTTTGAAGGGATATACTATGATCTTATTTAAAAACACCTAAAATGATAATTAGTTGAATATAAAATAATTTTATCTAACCTTTTTATTTATTTATAAAATATCTAACCTAAACGTATGTGATATATATATGAGAGAGAGAAAATATTTAACAAAAGTCGTTACAACGTAGCCAAAATGCATAGGATCTACGAGGAAATGCTTTGATTTAATGTAATTTATTATAAAAAAATATTGTTAGTTAATGTAATTTAACATTCAAAAATCTTACATAATTATGTATTTATTGAAGAGAGAAAAAAAAGTATTTTAACCTTTTTGATCGCAATAATATTCAGTGTAGTATTTGGTTATGATTTTAGCAAAACATGAAAAATACAATGATTGAAAAACTATGACACTTTTCCTTGTACTTTTATAACCAATGGCCACTCAAAATAAAAATAAATAAACAAATAATGTTATCAACATTGTCCTATATTTTTTTTAATAAGGAAACATTATCCGAAAAAATTATCCTTAAATAGAATAATCAATCATACCCATCAATAAATAAAAATGATTATTATTATGCGTTATTTTATATAAAATACAAATAACTATTTTACATGAAAAGTTTTAGATATTATTTATTATAATTATTTATAAATTAAATTAAATTTAAAATATAATTTATATATTTAAAAATATTTATTTATCCAAATTTTAAATATAATATATTTTAACATAGTATTTATTTATATACATAATTTATTTTAAATTTTAGTTATATATAATAAATATTTAACATGTACCTTGTACAAATTAAAATACTATTCCTTATATAAAAGTTAATGCTTAAATTCATTTTTCATCTCTATAATTTCTCAAATATGCAATTTTAATTTCTTAAAAAAATATTACAAATTTGATCTCTTAATTTTTAAAATTAAGCAATCTAGGTTTATAATGAACATGACGTCCAAATATTAAACAAAAAACGTTAACTTATTTGTGAGTAACACTATCGAATATTTACTTAACCATGTTGGCTTCCATATATGGAAGTATGGAACAACATTTTTTTCCACATATATGCTATTTCTTTTATCTCAATTGAAATTTTTAATCTACTTTGTTAAAAATTTTAATCCTATTATTTTCTTATGTAGCTAACTAATAACAAGTAGTATTATTCATAGACACATATTGTCATTTTAGATTTAATTTTGAATAACATGTTAATGTAAGTCTAATATTGTTTAATTTTGAAAACTAAAGAGACAAAAATTGTAATAAAAAAAAATAGAAGATAAAAGTTGTACATTTGTAAAATTATAAGGACCAAAAGTGGATTTAAGAAAAAAAAACACCAATAAATTTTATGTTCCATAAAATTAGGTGATACTTAATATTTTTATATTAAATTTCATGTTTGAGTATTATATTTAAAGAGAAAGACATAGAGAGAAAAGACTCCACAAAATGACTAATCAATTTTCTTAACATTTGTCCTTATAACAATTTTTAAAAAAATAAAAATAAAATTATACATCTAATAACTTTAATGAAATAAATATTATCAAAGACGGTAAAAACTATCCATAATTATCATTTAATCATTCACTATGTTTATAAAAAAAATGAGAGAAATAGTGAGACACGAAGTAACTATTTTTTTCCTAGTATATAATAATTAATATATCGCTAACATCATTAGCATTAGAATCAATTATATTTTGTCCTTAAACTTTTTGACAACTATAACTTTTAGTTCATCAACATAATTTTTACTAGTTTGAACTTTTACTCTCACTAATATTTTTGGGTTAGGGTTTAGGATTTTTGACATTAAGAGTTTTTGTTTGTGCAAATCTTTTTTAAGAATTTTTTTTTTTGGTTCGTCCCTGGAGTATTCAGGGCCGACAGCTGTGACTAACCTCAAAGAGTGGGATAGCTGGCCCCAAGATTTAACGCGGCTGCATACACAAAGCAGGATTCGAACCCCTGACCTTGCTTAAGCGTGGATCAACCCCTACCGCTGAACCACACGCTTGGGGTTGATCTTTTTTTAAGGATTAAAACCAAATAAATGATTAAAAATGAAAATTAAAAAAAATCATAGAATACAAGTATATTTAATTCTTAGTATTGTAACTAATAGCCTAAATATCAATGTAAAAAGATTAGAAAAATATAACATTGTACGAGGCGTAATTTGTTGTTTTTCATATCACAAAAGCTCATCAAGTTGCAAGTATATATTGACTTTTTTTTTAATGAATAATTTACTTAATATGCTTTAAAATCTGTTTAATATAATGGCTTATTAACAAAAGAGTATATAAAAACTTGACCTGAGCTTTTTCATATATAAAAAAAGGGAACTAGATAATTCCCCATGTTTAGATCAGCTTTATAAATTTTTAAATAGACATTTTGCATGTTAACTCTTAATCGAATTTAAGAAAAAAATCTTGTTAATTGTATAAAAAGAATCACTTTGATAAATTGCATTCTCAAAATATTTAATTAATCAAGTTATTTGGTTGAGGATAAAATGATACCTCTTAAAGCTTTTGAAATCATCTAATCTAAATTCTAAAGGCAATAATCAACTTATTATGCCTTAAAAAAACTCTCTGGCATGAAAAAAATAAACTTTTTATAACATGTATTTTTTTTTAGAGAAAACAGCTTAATACGAGTAAAAAGCTATTTTCTAAAATAATTAATCAAATCTAAACATGAACCTAATTGTTTCAAACTGTGTGTACAACATATGAACCAAAATCAATTATAAAGGCTGGTAGCCTCGCCCTTCAAGTTTCACACGAAACAGCCAAAGTGACACTTGATAATTTTCCATCTCAGCTGCCACTTGACAAGAGCAAAATTTTGAAGGGAAATAGGCTCCCCCTCCCTCCTCCTTTTTCCTAAATTTATTTCCCTTTTTTTTCCTTTCTCTTTCTCTATAACCTCCATTCAGGTGAAAAAAAATCAAAGACTAAGGTTGCATGAAATTGCATGTGCAACCGGCGAGGGACTACAATTTACACGTCAAGAAAAGGTTAGGCGTATGAACAACAACACCGTCCAAATAATCAATTGCCTAAGGCGGTTGTAATTTGTGAATCTCTTCATTGAGAAGTTGCGCAATTAGGTTTGTGTCAGCCGCTGGCCTATTAAGAATGCTGTACAATAAGTTCAATTCTTCTGCATTGGCCTTTTTGAATAGGTTCCTTAGTACTGCAACAACTCCAACGGGAGTGGGCTTATTCAAGAGAACCCTGTCACTATTTCCACCATTTGCATTTCCATTGGTTTGGCATGTTTGTGAAATCTGTCCTTGAGGACGAGAGTAGGGCCTTGAGTCCCAATATTCATTACATACTCGACTTCGATCCAGTGCTTCAATAGCCTGTAGAAAGAAAGCGAGGAAAGAAATCAAACATAACATTACAAATACTAACAATTTAGATGAAAAACCAGAAAGAAGTTTACAGCCCCAAAACACAACCTTAGAAAATGTTATTAACCGAGTTAAGACTATTTTTAAAATCTAGATGTAAAACATGCGACAAGAGTGAACATTGCATTGAATGGTTTTCATGTTGTTTACTTAACCATTGATTGAAATTTTTCTGAAGCTAGACACTCGGAGTTCCATTTTCCCTTTTGGTAAGAGACTAGCTAAGAGCATGTTTGGTTTGTGCATATCCTGTTATTATTTAAAAAATGCTTGGTCACATTTTAATGAAAACATTTATTGTTATTTCCCAAACATACATACCTACTGCAAAGGGTATAATTCAATCCTAAATCACTATCGTATCAATCCAAAAGAAGCTATAAAAATTGTTATACGCATAATTTACATAATAGTCCATGGAAGGTGGGGAGAAACAAGAAATGGAATGGAATGGAACTTATTATCAGCCCACGTTATACATAAATAAAGTCCTTTGAATTGTAAATGTGTTTTAGGCTCTATGGATAAATGTCTCCATGAAAATCTGTAGGTAAAGAAAATAAGGTAAAATGAACTTCTCCCATAAACTAAAATCAACTTAAGCACTTAACTTTTGTAGAAGCTTTCATTTTATCTTCTCCAAAAGCTGAGGTGCATAGGCTAACTTCAACTTACGAGAGAAGCTCAGTTTATTTTATCTTATTTTCTTCTGTTATAAGTGTTTATAAAAAGTTTATCCAAATAGGGCCCTAATCAGTAAAATTACCTGCACTATTGCTGGTGAAGAAAACCCAAACATTTCAAAGCCATCAAGGCTGCCAGGAGGCTGTAAAGGAGGAAGACCCTTTCTTCCCAACTTATGTTGCTTTGCGATTTCTTGATTCACTTTCTCTCTGACCAGTTCCCAACATCTTGCAGCTGACATATGGATGAAGGCCTCACTTGAACAATTTTCTAACGAAACCTGAGTAAAGCAAGATTTTATTATTTCACACACCTCATCCCAATTCCAGTTAACTAATTTACTCACAGCAACTTCAGTAAAAAAATATAAAAAAATTACTCACAGCAACCTGTTTCAATGCCCAAAGTAATTTTTAACTAAATGCATCCAACACCTAAAAAGTTTCAAAATCTCAATTTTTATGACTAAAGAAGGACACAAGTTATTCAATAGGACAAACACATAACTGCACCCATCAAGGATTACCCAGGACCACAACACCTTCCTCTCAGCAACAAGATATTAGGAACAGAGGATTTAAATTTCAAGTACGACAACAAATTTACATCAGAAATTTGAGAGACCTTTCTAGCCATACTGATCAAAAAAATATATAAGGCCGATTGCATGACAAGAGCCTGCAATTGAATTTTGAAAATAAGGTGAAAGTACCATAAATAGAGGCCAACCACGTCCAGCATCAAGTATTTCTGAAATATAGTAACACATACTGGATGGGTCTAAGACATTGATGTATCTAACGCGGCTTCTAAATCCTGCATCAATTAATTTAATTTGCATGAATACACAGCTTACATACTCAATTAAACATTGTCATGGAAGCTGTAAATCATTATGGACCAAGTATACATACCCTTCGGAAATATAGCCTGACTACTGCACCAAGACTTTCCAGAAAGCACAACCCCAAATTCTAATGGTTCAACATTGCAGTTGATGCGCCGGACAACCTTTGCAATCCGAGGACCTTTCTGACGGTAATTATTTGGACCACAAGAAAAGTTACCATTAGCCGTTCTTGCATTGTCCGCTACATTAGAAGTGGCACATCCTCCAAGTTTTTCATGATTATCTTCAGTCTTAACCTTAATGCCAGAATGTTGTGGTTTCAGAGGACAAATCTCCAAACAATTATCACTGGCCTCTACTTTTGAAGACGTTGGAATATTTCTAGCAGATTCTGTACTTGTAAGACCTATATGACAAGAAAGATCTACTGGGGTAAAGGCCAGAACTGTTCCTGAGTGTTCATGACATTCTTCTTTCACACGCAAAAGCCGTGTTGAATCAGAACTCATATTTTCACGGGGCAATGTAATAGCATCCTTTTCACTAATCATAGGAGTATCTGTCACAGAAACTGTCAAGTTTTTATTTTCTATATCATTGCATGGGCTCACCTTATCTCTAGGACCTGCGAGCATATAAGGAAGTTCCTTCCCTCTATTTGAATAGGGAATCTTCTTTTCATCATCTTCATCATCACTGAGAAGTATAACATTGTTATTATGTCTGTAAAGTGAACTTTTTTCACCTCCGTGTTGAGCAAGAGGCAGAGATAAAGCATTTGGTGTATCCTCTTGAGACAATTGACAGCCAGGGGTTCTCATCTTTGATCTGCAAATAACAGATTCTTCTTTATTAACACATATCTTATGATTAGCTGTCTCACATGTAGGTTTTGAGCTTTTAAATGTTAGCAAATCCTTCGTGGAACTCAGAGATGAAGTAGATTCAGCTGATTTCCTTGGTTGAAAAGGGCTATGATCTTTGCTATTTGCTTGATTCTCTATTGGGACATCAATCAATTGAGAATCGTCAATAAATTTATTTGAGGGATGCAAAGCTGTCTCTTTATGCACAGTTGCTCTAGAAGAATGAGACAAATTAGATGAACGCGAGTTCAATTCCATAAGTACTGTTCCCTTGTCTGCTGAGACATGTGAAGATAGTGCCAGCCCAAGATCTAATTTTGCCCATCTATATATTGCACTTAATTTTCCTTCCAATGCCTCCACAAGAATATTTAGTTCACTAATATCATACCGAAAGAGGAAAAATTTGGAATCCCAAGAGCATGAACAAAACTGCTTTGCATGATCCAAGCAAGCATATCTATCTGGGGAACAGCGGCAACCAGCAGCAGATAGATGTAAATCAAAAAAGCAAATGTTGCATTCCCTTTCATCTGTAGCATCAAAAGTACTCTCCATTTTTAATGCCTGTGAAGAACTGCAGAGAAATTCCCTTCTTGCTCGCTCCATCTCAACACGCATCTAGAGAGGAAAACACAAGTAAAACAAGAAAAGAGATTATTAACATTAAAACTCAACACTCATTTATACTAGTCTTTCTTTTCAATTTTCGTTTACAGTGCATACGCACGGGTCCCACCTAAGATCCTCAAATATTCAGCAAACAGAACAAAAGTTCCACAGTTTAGTTACAATTTTGGGATTAGAACAGGTGTTCAGGAGGGTGATCCTTGGCACCCCCATTTTCTATAATAAAGTTGAATCTCAGCAAAAAGGAGGCAGACCAGTGCATTATTTAGACATAAACCCAAAAGCATCTTGGGTAAAGGGATGTGAAACATAAAAAACCATTCATGAGGCTTCACCTACTAACTTAAGCTTCCAAGTTAACTGGTTAATGACACATAGGGATCATTGAATCTATGATTATTTTTCTTTTTGTTTTTATTCTATTTTTGACCAACAATAATTGTTCTTTAAACTCAATCTAGCACTTAGGCTTTCACTTGACAGACTCTCAACAATCAACTAATATAATACAGAATTAGAAGACAAGGTGGTGTAGAAGAAAGGGATGGGCAGAAGAAAATATCCAAAAGCACTCAACTCTTCAATATTAAATTCAATAAGGCAGAATCCCCTAAAATAATAATATCCTTAAATGGTGGGTGAGGTTATTGAATAAAGATTCAAATCGTGACTTGCCAAGCTAATTTTTTAATCATAAATCATAATTTGTACCAAATTGTAAGATTGAGACAGAAAAAAATATTCAAAAAATATCATATAGATGATATATAGTGTTCAATGTAATAATTTTAAACTAGAAATAGATAAAACAACTGAACCATAAGTCCCATAAAACAAAAACATGATCATATGCAAAGCCTCTAGTTTTATTTATTTTTTTGTTAGCAGGAATTACAATGACGGTTACACAACTCGAACTCAAGACCTTATGCATACTATTTCAACTCGCCACCACTAGGCTGACCCTAGTGTTTCACCGAAGCCTCTATTTTATAAGAGTGGAAACTAATAGCAAATAGAGTGCATGCATTGAATGAGTGACAAATAAAGTAGTGGAATAATCAAGTAGGATACATTTAGAAATGGTATTTTAATTCCTTTTTATTTAACAAAATGATTTTTCTATCTTTTTCATGAGAAATGGTAAAAAGAAAAGTAAACAAATTTAAAAAAAAATAATGGAGTGATTCATATCAATGGTATGAAATGGCACCAATTCATTCATATATCGTAAGATTCAAAGTTATTTGAGATTTATTTTATGATATGAATTGATAGGTAGTCAAAATTGTCAAATTGTATCAAATCATAGGATTTGAATTTTGAATTGTATGTTTCTAATAATTATAACCAACACCACTTAAACATCAACTTCCTTATTATGGACAGGCCATAAAGTTAATACGAAATCATAAATATCATCCCTTCATACTGTACTATATGGAGAAGCGGAATTTACCTTAAGTGCTTTTGCCAAAAGGCCGTCCTTCCCACAAACATCCTTCCATCGTAGATTATCCAAAGTATTTTTCTTTAGCAAATTAAGCTCCCATTGGGCTCGTACTGCTTCCCTTGCAGCCCCAAGCAACAACTTATCATGTGATACAGAAGTCTTGCGCCCCTGCTCCTGGTACAGCTCTATAGCAATATGTCCATGGGGCAGCCAGTCAACAGGGGCTACATTAACAGCCTCAGCACAATTGAAGCCACAATTGAACCCAGAGTGGTAGGCTCGAGGAAATGTCAGAACAAAGTCCCCAGGGTTTTGAACACACCTAAAAACTGGTACTCCTTTAGACTTCAGGATAGAAGGAGAAAGCTGAGTGACCTGCAACAAAAAAGTTAAAAATTCATGCATTAGATAAATATATGTCCACAAAACTACACATGATCATTCAACACAATTCTTTATCTGCACAATAATAGAAATATGGACAGGTAGGTGAAATGGAGAGATAAAAAATGAAAAATAGAGCTTCACCCCACCCAATGAGAACGCAATGATAATTTTAACCTTGTTTGTTACCTCTCTAAAAGATAAAACAAACTAAATGATCAAATGGCATTTGTGCAGCGATAGAAAACTTTTGCTCACCAGCTTATGAAGCAAGTCAGGCTGTTCTTCAAAAAGTTCTGGTAAATGCTTTCTCATGGCTTCTTCCAATTTGCAGGCATCCTTTCCAGGGACACCATACCACATTTTTGGAGCTCCCCAATGCATGTAATTCAATGAATATAAATGGTGATCTTCCACATGCTGCATCCACAATTAAACCATAAAGAAAATATGAAGCAGTTATAAAAACTAAAGATGCTATGCTAACTAAGCATTCATTCTCTCACACAAAAAACACACACACCAAACATCAAAAAATTGCCAGTCAACACAACAATTAGTTATGGCGTAGTGGTTTACAAAACAAATCAGAGCAAAAAGATGTCACCTATATGCATCCCATTATTTTCACACAAAAACACACCCTACACACCCTTACATCCCCTCCCATCCTCAAAGGGCATACAAAGACACAACACACACATGGACATGCATGGGTTCCTATAAACAACAACAAACAAAAGACATGCAAATGTAAACTAAAGATAAAAGATACATACACATATAATAGCATGTAACTGTAATAGTTGTTGTCAAAATATTACATAGATTACAGAGATATCCCAGGAGATCCAATACAAGTTTGATTTTGTTGACTTTGTTCCTATTTATATCAGAATATCAGATTGATTTGTAGGTATGCAGGTAGCCTATTTTTTATTTTAAGCACATTATCTGATTAGGATCAGCTCTTAAGGTTTAGCTCCATTTTTTCCCCTTATTTTTAGCTTCTCCTTGTATCTATATATTTATGTATCCTTTGTACAGTTTAATCAAAATATGAAATATATGTACTTCTTCCATCGGTCTCAAGTGTTATAAAGACAAATTGCAAAGAATTCATGAAATACATGCTAGAAAACGAGGGATGTAGTCCTTACCCAACAAAAGGAGGAAAAGCACATTCCTATGTACAACCATGGCACTAGAACACCAGATATATCACTGCTTTCATAAGAGAGCAGAGATCCAGGAAGCCTTGCAAAGTTATTTAAATTCCAGCCAGATTTTATGTACTGTTCATGTGAAGCAGAACCAATATGACTAGATTTGCTGGGGAAACCACTTCCAAAAACCCCTGTTTCCAGATCAGCTCCATAAAGCACCTGGAAGTGTACAGAAAAATGAAATGTAAGGAGAGTGGCATGTACTACGGGCAACAAATAGGCAATAATTTCATGAAGCAGCAAATTAATGAGATTCTATGGAATGTGACCTCAATTTCTTCCGTAGGACTCTCAACCATTCGCCAGTATTCACCTTCAATGTTCTCCACAGAAGGCTCCAAGGTACCATTTAAAATTGTTGAATTAGCACCCAAATGAGATACATTCTCATTTTTTCCAAAGTATTTGATCCGAAAATCTTCGGCATATCTCTGAAATGTTTCCAAAGTAAATTCTGGACCAGGTTCAAACCCAAACCTTTCAACTTCACAAAAACCTGCATTAGGTCCTCTTCTAGTGCCATTATCCACCCCCATTCTTGTGCATCTTCTTCTTTTCCTCTTCATATTACTTTGAACCTTTGACATCTTTCTCACTGAATCACGATTCTGTAGTTTGTCAATCCTCTGAACACGTGTAGCAAACTTAGAACCCTCCCATGTACTTTTTTCTTTGAGAGGACAAGGAGGTTTCCAAGAAGACGGTGGAACAATGCGACAAATTCCATATGGCTCGGCCCTAGAGCGAATGCTTGATATATATTTCAAAGTATCTTGAAACTCCTGGAAAAAATATGGACAAGTCAATGATATGATTTTCGGATAAAGCTAACTCATAGAAGTAAACAGAACAGTGCATGGACAGAAGTGAATTCAATGTGTCACTGGAACTGAACAAGACCTCTTCAGTAGGGTAGAAAACAGGAGCGTCCTCAATATTTGGCCTACGAGCCTCTTCTGGTCGCCATCTGGCAACAACCTGTCAGAAACTTTGATTGTCAATTAATCATTCATCGTGCGAGAGGCATGCCCAATAATATCTATTTATGATGAAATAAACTCTATAATATATGAAAAAACAAGTTCATTGGTGTTATTACAATAACCAGTCTGATGGATGAGAAGGTAGACCAAAACCCTTCTGTTTCAATAAGGGAGCAACCCAATTCATAAAACTTGGCAATGCAAATGTCATTATTACAAATTATCCTCTAGCATTTGTAGCTTGTACTTTTCTCTTTCTTAATAAATTCTGTCTTTCAAAAAATTTAATGTGTCTATATATTATTAACATAACAATAATAAAAGAAATGATGCTGATAGAGGAGAGCAAGGAGAATGGAGATGGTGAGTTAGAGTTGATTCACTAATAATGAGGCCAATAATATTTTCAACAAAAGTAAATCATGTATATTTTATAAATAGACCTTCTGGCAATTACTGCAATCTGGACATCCACGGATGACTCCCCGAGGAAGACAAGGTCTTGAGGAAAAATTCTGCATTGACATTTATATGTAAGGCACTAACCAGAACTCTCTGCACTAATATTCAGGAAATGGTGTGCATTGAATTCAAAATGAAGACATCCAAAACAAAACAAAAAAATGAACTAATATAAGACTGACTTGATCAAGCGGCTCACAGTCAGAGTCTTCATCTGAACAGTTCTCATATTGTCCATAATTAATCCATGGTCTTCGTCGAAGGGATCTAGGAACCTTTGCAGTATCACAAACTTGAACATCATTTTCCACCTGAGTTGAAGGTGATTCAGAAGCACTTGTAGAGGCTGAACTGGTCATATTTTTATCATTTTGTTTATCATTGTTTTCTACCCTCTTCAGTGAGAAAGATGTGTATGATTCAAAACCTGGTGGAACTGATGGAAAATCATCATTATCTTCTTTAACACATACTCTCATAAGCTCAGTCCCCATCATAACCTCATGCAAAAAGTCAATAGGCAATAATGTCTCTGATAGTGATATGTCTTCCCTGTATGAACTAAGGAGTCAGCATAAAGCCATAATCTGCACACACGCACAGGCACAAAAAAAAAAAATATAATCTGGGTTTTATTAAACTTACTTTGTTAAAAAGAGTACTTATAAAGTGAAAGATGTCGAGTCTGTTGGTTCTCTGAACTTCCACTGTATTAGCTATAAATCGCATCAAAAGAAGGCTATTTGGAGATCCCAGTACTTTCATAAATTGCTGGAACACGTCAATCTGAAATAAGTCACAACAAACAAAGAGAGGCAGCTCAGATAAGGTAATACATGCGAATACATCATAATGCAACACAGTATCTTAATATTGCATACTTGATTTTCTATTTAGTCAAAATTGTTATCCTTACTCTTGTCAGACTAAAACTCAAATTATTTTCAATAAGGCTATTGGCATTCATTCATCAGAATAACAGATCAGACAGCAAAGGCATATTGAAACTTCAATATGTTCTTTTTCATTAATATTCTTGTTGGATCAAATAGTACTAATTGACAAATGAAGGATTAAGCTTAATGTAGGGGAGTGCATCATCTAAATCCAGAGGTGAACAGCATTCTTTATCTCTTTCTCATTTACCCCTCTTTTAATATTTCTCTTTACCCTTTCTCAGGACCAAATCCCTAGTTCATTGCATTTCAACAGTCAGATCATGAGATAAAAATTCAAAACAATTAAGCAATCACTGACAGGATCCCAAAGATAACCTAAAAGATCCTGTAGAAATTGTAAAAAAGGACCTCCATACCATTATCTGTATAACTAACAATACAGATGTATAGAGCAAAGCAAACATCAATATAAACTCACTGCAATAATATTATTTAGGAATATTAAATGAAGGAAACCAAGCAACAATTAATAATTAATAATTAATAATTATAATAATAAATAAATAAATAAACTTAGTCAAATTTACTATAATCAAGCGATTTTGCAGTGATTAGCTGTAATCCTAACAGAAAACAAGAGAACATATCCTATCAGGAGTTACCTAAAGGAAATCGTGGAGGAATTGCGATTTTCTATTGTATGGTTGAATACATGGAAAATTGGGGTTAATACAATGGAGTATCGATGAAAAATAAAGAAAAATTTCGAGGACCTATAGGTGGCCGGTGATGAGAACGATGAGCGTGAAGAATTGAAGACAAAGTGCAAACTCTACAAACCCTAACAGGATGGAGGAAGAAGACGATTTAGGAAGCAACTTAGATAAATCTGTATCCTCTACATTAATGTCTAGATGAATTTTTTTTTTCCCCTATCTTTTGTTTTTTTTTTTTTTGGTCAACTTTCTTTTGGGGTAAACTTGTAGCAGTGCAATTTGTATAAAGTATTTGAGCCCAAGGGCATTTCAGTCTTTTTATGCTTTCCGGCTTCGGCTTCACGTCTAGGCCTAGCCGAATCCTTATAACGTTTAACTTTTTTCACGTTTTTTGTTTTTGATACAAACTTTTTTTCTTTTTAGAAACTGCTTTCCTTTCCGTGTATCATATAACTTACAAATAGCATTTGCACTATAAATTATTTTTAATTATAATATTAAGCTTATGATATTTTTTTTAATATTTTAGACTATAACTTATTTGTATATTAAATATTTATAAATTTTATGTAAAATTATTCAATCGTATGAAAATTTTAATTTTTATTCAATATTTACAATAATACTTTTATCTATTACACAAATATTTTTTTATACTTCAATTAATTTTTAAAAATATTATAGTTAAATAATAATTGACTAAATTTAATGAATAAAATCATAGTAAATTACAATATTTTCTCCTCGTAGATATAAATAGAGTTTAATAGTTATACATTAATAATGAAAATTCTTTTCACGTAATCATTTAATCACAAACATTATGTATAATAAGTTTGTTGAATTTTAAAGACACATTTTTTTTAATAGATAAAAATTATTGGAACATACAAAAGTTGGTGGGTCTTACACCCTATTGAATGGACTCTGATAATCATACTTGGTCAAGAGTAAAATAAACATATGCTTTTGTGGAGACTGTTCTAGAGGTTATATTGAGATTGACGATGTTATTATTTTGAGCTACCATAAAGTAACCTGTTAATAGTAGGAATTGTTTAATCGGCCACTTAGATTGTATAGTTTATTTTTATTGAATTATTGTACTTATGTCATTATGTTTGTATAATTATTTCAATTTTATGTGAATGATATATACTGCATATTCAAATATAATTGACATATAACTTTAAGTTATTAGTAATTTTCTATTGTTAAATATCAAGCCATTAAGTGTATGGAGCATGACAGTCGTCACATATTTTGCACCTTTTTTTTTTTTTTTTTGGTTCGTTCCTGGAGTATCCACGCCGATAGCGGTGACTAATCTCCTAGCTAGGTTGGAGGCACCTCAAAGGGTGTGATAGTTGACCTACGTTGGAGGCACCTCAAAGGGTGTGATAGTTGACCCCAATATTTAACGCGGCTGCATACACAAGACATGATTCGAACCCCTGACATTGCTTAAACGTGGATCAACTCCTACCGCTGAACCACACGTTTGAGGTTATATTTTGCACCTTCTAATATTATATATATATATATAATATATATAAAGGAAATACCACTTATAGTAATCACATTTGGTCTTCACATTTAATAGACTATTTACCTTCTATTATTAAAAAATATATATAAAAAAATATTTTTCTAATAACTACTGTTCTCTTTTAATAACTTTCAACTCTACTACTTTTATTACTTAATTAGTTGAATCGAGATACTTTGTATCTCAATATATTTTATTTAATAAAAGTATTTAAGAATTATCGATGTAGATTAATTGGTGTTGCATTTGATCATCAAACTTTAAGGTTTTGAGTTTGAATCTTATGTTTGTATAAATGATTAGTTTTTAATATTATTTTTTATTACTTTAAAAGTTAAGGATAATATTGTCTAAAAATGTGTCCACATATTGTCTTTATATATGTTATAGATTATCTTTATTACTTAATTTTATTTTTTAAAATTTTTAAATAAAATACAAAGACACAAAATGTCTTGATCTCAGTAATAACCCCTAAAGAGGCTAGAGCAAGACCTAATTGAAAATGAATTGAATTATTTATTGTGTCATAAAGATCCTTATGTCCATGCCCCAATCTACCCTCCCGAAGGAGTATGTGCTTCTAAAAATGATAATAATTATTAATTTTTTACTTAAAAAATTGTCCCACTAACCTAAAGTCTTGGATTTGCCACTCTAAAGGAAACTTATATATAAATTTAAAATAAGATTTTAGAGAAGTAAATATGATAAATTTTTTACATATTATAAACTAATTTTAACTTATGAATAAACTTATTTTATTTTAAAAATATTTATGAAAAAACATTTTTAAAATGAATAAAGTACAAAACTATTCTAATTTTTTTCTTCTTTATTTATTTCGATGTTGTTTTTTTGTAGACTTTGAGGAATAATCATATAAAACTGTTTAAGTTTTTGCAAGAAGGCAAAAATTATATAATGGAAATTTTTACGGCGAGCAGTTCAAATAAAAAACGGAGTGTTATTAATCACACATGGAAGTTGAATATCATGTCAACTATCCACGTAACAAAGACTAAATTTTATGTCTTATAATAACTCGTGAATAATATATAATAGATAAAAGCAGAATACCTTACAAACTTACTATTATTATTATTTTTTTGTAAAGACTATGTTTTTTATTTTTAAAATAACATATATATATATATATATCATCAGTACTAATTTTATTTGAGAATTTAAGTAATATTTAATTGATATTATTAATATACTATTTTTATACATATTTTTATAATTTGGATATTTTTAATATAATATTAATTACTATATTATTAAATATAATATATAATTATTTTTTATAATATTATTATTTATTACTGAAAAATAACACTTTTTGCTTTTATTTATTTTATTTAAATAAAAAATAAAAATGAGAGAGAAAAGAGAAATCAAGATAGATGTGCATTTATAGTAAAAAAGACAAAACAATTTAATTAAAATGTGTATACAAAGAAATAAAGTATCATTTATTAATAATATAGATTACATTTATAAGCATAATATATTTATCAAGTTTAATAAATCTAACGCTAATATACGTATATTAAACATACAACTTTTTAAATGAATGAATTTATTTTAAAAAATGATTTTAAATGAAACACAATTATTATATATAATATCGATCAAAATATATATGTGTGTAATTTATCTCATAATTCTTTTATATATTATAAATTTAATTATATATTTTACAAAAAAAAAATCAAATGAGTGAATGACAACTTATAAACTCAAAACATTTTAATATATATTTTAAGAGGAATGCTTCCTTCATTCTAAAAATAAATTTACCTAAATTTATTATGTTTAGCAACTTGTGTTTTAAATCAAATTTCAATGATCAAATATTTGAATTTAAAGCTTTTAATGCATTGTTCAATTATGTAATTTTTTTAAAATTTAAAAATATTTAATATTTTGTTTCATTAATTCAAATCAACATATAAAATAATTTAATGATTATCCGTCAATTTGAATTAATGAAACGAAATATCAAATAATTTTTAAATTTTTTTTAAATTTGTAAACATGATTTATGTATTAAAATTTTTTAATTAAACAACGGTTGGATTGTTAAAATTTAATATAAAAAAATGAGTCATTAAATACAATATGTTTAGGTAGACTTATTCCTAGAATAAACATATTCCTCCTTATATTTTAAAATTTTATAATAAATATTTTTTAGTATTGTCAAGTTAAAAAGACTAAATTATTTTAATATAAAATGAGAGTAACAATGTAATACATATATCTTTTAAGAGAGAAAAATGTAAATTATTATATATTTAACATATAAATAGAAAGGCTTTAAAAAATTATGTCAATAAAAGTATATACTAATTAATCTCTCAAAAGTGTTGTTTACGGTTTAGTTTAATAATCTTGAATTAAATAGACTAAATTGTATCGGAGAGTTATTTATATTGTTGTACATGAGTGAGCATACATGGAAATGATTATCTACAAAATTTGATATAATTAATAAATAGATTTTTTAAAACATTTGATTCACAATCGTGTATGAAATTTGCTTGAACGTTTTTTTTCTTATTTATTTTCCACTTGTTTTAATTATTTATTTTATATTCATTATTATTCACTATTTTTATTTTATTACAATAAAAAAAATCCTAAAAGAGAGAAAGAGAAACAAAAGTAAAAGAAAATTAATTGACCCATTTAAATTTTATTTGCTCAACAACGAAATGGGCCTTTATTCTAAGATTTGAACCCATGACCCAACAAAACCCATTTTCTTGTATTCAAATATTGCCTAATGTTCGTAACCCACTATCAGTAACCCTTGTCAATGAAGTTATTAATGTCTCTTGGTAGAGAGAATGACAGCAACAAATAACTTTGTCTTTCCCCCATCATGTATTTGTACATGAGAAAGAGAGAGGGCGATATTTTATTTTAAATTTTTTTTTATAAGTCTTCATAGTGTCATATCGACTTATATTCTTAAATATAATTATTATTAATAGTAAAATTACGTTATATAAACATAAATTAATCATTAAATCTTAATGTTAATCATAGTGTTAAAAATCATATCGATCTTCAAATTGATTAGAATACTGAGTCAGCAGTCAGGTTAAAGGTTAAACTGGTAGATCACTAATTGAACTGTATGATTCAGTTTTTTTTAAAATATTCATGTTAAATATGTTTTATACTTATAAATTTTAATAAATTAATATCTTATTTTAAATTTCAATTTTATTTAAAATTTTATTTTATTTTATTTTGTATTAAGAAATACATAAAAAAATTACACATTAAATTGTATGTTAATACAAATTAAAAATATAAATAATATGTACATATATAATATACTTGTAATTGGCACCACAAAATAATATATGTAATATCTACATAGATATTATATTATTAAATATATAATTTAAAATTAATAATATACTATAAAAGTTTTATAAGTTGCATACATTACAAAAAAAATACATTAGAACAAGTAGTTATTGTTATATTTGATAAGATTCTTTGCTCTTTCATGAAGAAGATTCAATTTTTATTGTTGTTTTTGATATTTGTGGTCCCTTCAAAAAAAATTGTGATTAAACTGATTTGACCTATCGGTTCAATGATCAAATAAAAAAATTGATCAATTTACTTCGATTTGCATAATTGATTAAACTCAAGATTCAAACCGGCTAAACCACCAAT